GGGGTGCTCGCACGACTTCTCTCTCGCTGATTGATTTGCCGTAGAGCTGGTTACGTTGGTCTGCTCTATCGCCGAACTAACTTACTGTATAGTGCCGTAGGAACTAGAATAATTGAAGCTCACCACTGTAAGACGTTGGGGTTGCCCTTCCTAGTAAGGTTTATTGTATGATATTTCTTTTCCTTCCACCTGTATCAACGGAGGGCTGAAAGCCGGTTTTTTTCAGGGCGATTCCTCCCCCCCCCTCCTTTATCCAAAGAGGGGAATTCTGGACGTCTTAGCGTGTGGTTCAGTTATTCCCAGTTCTTTGCAAGTACCGGTACGGTGAAATTCAGTACGGAAAATACCGGTAGTGTTTGATTTATCATGCCCAATCTCTTTCAAAAAAAAATGAGGGGGGAGGGTTACGTCGCCTCAGACAAGCTTTCTTTCGTATTGTACCGGTACTTCCCTTGAGCAAAGCTGTGGTGGGAATGCGTGAGTTACTACAATACGTACAAGTACGAGTACTCGTACCCGGGGCCTATCACACATATACGATAATGGCAAGTGGTTTTCCCAGCACAGTACGAGTAGCATTCGCTACAGGATGGTACCCGGAGGGGCTTTGGCTGTTTATGGAAATGTATTTCCCTGAATGAAACATGTGGTACATTGGATGTCCTGGGTTGATATCATATATTGTGATGGCATTAGTTACACTGGACCACAACAGCGAGACATGCTGGTCGATATGGAGGGGCAGGGCTTCCCGCCCGTATGTATGTAGAAGGAGAGAGTTACTGGCCGGTTGGATGGCAGGGCTCACATAAGCGCATAAAGGAAAGCATGAAGATGTTAAAACTGCCGACACTCGCGGTAGTGGTGGAGCAGGGTTTGTTTCGTTTAAACCTGAGTTTTGGTGGAGTGCGAGCAAGGTGAGAGTGTCTACCGGGTGCTTGCGTGATTCCTTGATTGTCTGCGCGACACGAGATGTTCACGGCGACGTCTGGTCGGGTTCCCTCCCTATCCGCCCTGCCTAGAGAGATACTTGTGTAGCGCACGGCGCAAGGAGTTCCATTAGAAACCCCGTGAAGAAAGGCACCATCTGGGGGAAATGGGGAAAGGAGGAAGGCGTCGCATATTCTGGTGAGCCCGAATACGACAGGATCCGGAAGGATCGACTCCCCAAAGCTCGAAACGAGCAAGTTAAGGTCCCTCATTTTGGGTGGACCAATGATGTAAGAGGCTCATCTGCGCTGTGCTCGAGTACAGTACGGTACCGTACTGCAACTCTCTTATTTCGTTTTTTTCTCATGTTACTTGAAATACCGGCAGACCCCCTGCGATTTCAGGTGCAGTCCAGGATTGGAGAACAAGAAACCTCGCTGCCGGTTCCCTTGGTTGGACGAAACCTGAATGGTTTGCTTTAACATTGTTGGTACCTGTACTTGTACTCGTACTTGTACTGTACGTACCGGTAGCGGGAGTCGAGCCGAATAGGCTCCATAACCGGTCTGATAAACAGACTGGTACTTGTACACGGTAGTGCTCGCCATAGGCTAACGAAGTGAATCATGTGTCAGGATTTAATGACACTTGGGAGTGTTTTGGGGGGGGGACAAACTCTGACGGTCCGTCGGATGGTTGGCCTTGGCTGGTTTGTCCGATATGTTTCGGAATTCAAGCTCCCCTACTTGCGCCGCGGATCACGCACGGGTACTCGAGTAAAATGCCATAAGTACCGTATCATATCCCTCGAGCACCCGTACCGGTAGTTGGCGCTGCGGGCTTTGCCGTGATTAGGAGAGGAAGGATTGCTGATAACAGGACGGGTGGTCCGCCTGCTACATGCCCATCCATCTGTGTGCACGCATTCGCAGTCTTTCCAGCCCAGTTAATCGGGCTTGGGCCAACCCAAGACCATTACTCGAGTACCAAATGTGGTTCACGGCCGGGGAGATCTCGCTCTGATCCGGCCTATAGAAAACATCTACACCATTGCCACACTCGATCCATTCCTGACCTCGAAATATTCTAGGGAACTGAGGGGCGACAAATACAGACCAAGGGACCGATACGAGCGCGAGTATAATACCTCGGGCGTGCAGTACTACCGGCATGGAAGTCTGTGCCTGTGCCTGTATCATGATCAAGCTCTACCGGTACTGAACTGCACCTGTAATGCACTGCAGTCGTTGGTTGCAAGGGAGGGAGAATGTGTGTGTGTCTGCGCGTCCGTCACTCAATCTCTCTCCTGTTCTTTCGTTTTCTGATCTTCTCCTCATCTCCTCCTGTGCCTTGGTCAACCCATTCTCACGCCCGCGTCATAGGGCCCCCGGCCTCACTACTTTATCAGTCAGATTCCCCACCCATCCCACTGCAAATCCTCGCTCCACCGTGCCCATACACTCAGACTCTCACATCACATACGGTACAGTACCCGTGCCTCACACGAGACATCCGGGAAAAGACAGCAAGAGACATCCCCGGTTAGGGGAAAGGAGAGGGGTGTCAGGGAGGGGCACCGGCGGATAAGTATACCCGAGTAAAATAAAATAAAATAAAATAAAATAGAAAGAGAGAGAGCGAGAGCAAGGAGAGAAGGGCTGCGTCTCCTCAGCTCCCCTTCCCCTTCGCCCTGCCCGCGCTGCGCGTTATCATATACCGATACCCACGAATGCACCGCACTTGGGCTGCGCAGCCTCCCTCGTCTTCTGTGAAGCCCTGATCCAGCGTTCTCGACTCAACAGGATAATTCCGAACGAGGAAACAATCTGCCCCGTTTGAGACACAACTTATTCCCCTCCAGTTCTTGGATTTTCCGGCTTACCACCCCCGCCCTCAATTTCTTCGTACCCTTACCCGATCCGCTTTCACACCAAACCGTCTCTCCTCGTGAGCACACTTTGTTCCGGTTTCTGGGAAATCTTCCAGCGTGACGACCCTCACTGCCCCAGCGAAGCCCGCCAAACTCGCCTGACAGGCCACGTGTGGAGGAGAAAGCAGCACTGCAGCGGAGCATCGCCCTCAACTGCTCAGCCCGTGTCCTATCTTATCTCTGCTTGTATAGGCGTACGTCTCCTTCAGCTCGCGAAACGGCAGCACAAAAAGGGCCCTTGTTTCTACCGGAAGAACAAGCCATTATCGCAGCCATACAACACGCGCCGAAGTCTTACGGAGACGCCCAACATTTCTTTCCCCTCCACTCAACTCGGTCTACGTCGGTGAAACGCTTAATTTCCGCCTCAGACTTTGTGCACCGCTTCCCATCCGCTTGATACCACCCACACCGACATTACCGTCCCTCGTTTCGTTTGCCACGGAAATAAAACCATGCTATCCGCGAAATTGGGTCCATCGAAGGAATCGGGCGCGAAGGAAGACGCGGAGTCCGGCTCGACAAGCTGGAAAAAGAGATTTGGGTTGGGCAAAAGGGACAAGACCAAATCAAACTCTGGCTCCCCGCCACAGGAGTCGACCTCCCCCGCGTTGCACCCGACAGATGCTCCCGAAACTCCGGCAGCTACGGCCAAAGCAACGACTCCCTTAACCACCGATCCTCCGCAACTGCCAAAATTGGCGGAGATCCCCCCCATCACCACGTCCCCTCCCAGCGCAACCGTCCGGAACGCTAGCTCTCAAACCCAGTCGCCCACATCCCCAATTAGATCATTGGGCTCAAGTTCTTCGCCCCCCCTTGCTCCCAGACCCAACACAGCGGGCTATGGCTCAGCAGCCCATCCACGCCTATCAACCAGCAGCTCCCAAATATTCGAGCGCAATGTTCAAGAGCAACCCAATTCATCCTTGCCGCCCCCAACATCTCCCGCGATCCCGGCGCACATCCAAACCGAGAACCACATCCCCGCCGTTTTAGAAGCCAGCTCTATAGCGATAACGGATGAGAAATGTGGTGTCGACGAAGTCGAGATCATTATGCATAGCATGCATCAACCCGCCGTGTCCGTCGTTGCACCACCACACTCGACCACCGCATCCAGCCCAACACATGATACCCACCAACACCGTCGACGATCGCCTTCACCCGCCGGTGACAATGCCATGGATGAAGCTGCATTTCCAGGCCATTCGGGTGACGAATACTCCCCATATGGCAGCACAGGCTCCGCAGCCGCGGCCGACAAACGTAGGTTGTCGTTCATATCGTTCGCGGATGTGGTGCAAGCCGAACAAGCGGAGCACGCCGAACACATGGAAATTCCTAATTCATCACTGAGTTCTATCAATAACCTGTCCCCATTGGGTGGCTCCCCTCAATTATCGCCGGTTGATCGGGAAACGGGCATCTCGACAATCAATGAGACACTTCGGCATCGCTCACCGTCGCCTATTCGATTAGGATCTAGCCCTCCCGGGAATTCCGCGTCGGGATCCGTGCAGAGAACACTCAGCGGGACATCTGGCACCAGTTCACCCTCCAGACCAAATACCAGTGATTTGGGGATGGATAGGGGTGAGCTCACTATCGAGACAATGAGGCAGGCATTGAGGAAGACTGGGAGCGGGGATCTGTCGGGGTCTACGGGCAGGAATCCAGCGTCACCTCCGCCGCTTGGAAGATAGCGAACGCGGCGGGCGACTCTCCAAGGAACTTGTTTTTTTTTTGTTTTTTTGTTTTTTTTGTGGCTCTCTTCCTTTCCCTCCCATTCCAGTTGCGATCACCTTTTATATCCCCAGGAATTGGGAAATGGCTCAATCGAGGGACTTACTGCGCTGTGGGGCCGGGCGGGTTCTTTGCTGTCATGTATCATTTCCCATATTGTTCCTTCCCCCTTCCCTTCAGAGATGACTTTACGTACAAGGCGGCTTTTTCCTTTTCCCTGCTTTCCCATCGTTTACAATTGATCAAGGTACTCTCTTAGTGGACTGGATATACCCTGGCGGCGGCCAGCGAATGGACTGGATGTATTTCATCAGCGTATAGTGAAATGATCCCCCCACACGACGGGCCTTTTCCGCCTTCCCTATTTCATTCAATTATACACCGCCCACGCAGGCACTGTGAGACCGTTCATCCCTTCCATCCTCCCATACATGCTCCCATACATGCGCCCATACCTCCGGTATCTCATCTTTGCACACTCCCGTCACCCCGGCAGATGGAATGGCACCGTGCAAGCCAGACCTACCATACCACACCGTAGCGCACGCCCACCAACTTGTATCAAGCCAATACACGTGAAGTCGATGAGCTATTAAAAACGGAATAAAAATCAATAAAAGTCATTCTTGAGCCCCCCTCCCCCTCCCCCGGAAGCGAGGATGTCTGAAAGCTCGCTGCACCGGACCAATTTGACCTAACTTGGTCTAGTCCCCCGCCCTGGCCACGAGTGAGTGAGATGGGACCGAGTACTCGAGCACAGTACCGTACCGGTACCCTGCGTACAGTACCAACCAGCCCTCCACGTACCGGGTATATCGCTCGCACAGGCAAGCAGGATCTACCGCACGGCAAGTACCGTGAGACTCCAGAGCAGCGGAGACGCAACACGCTACGGTACCGTAAATCATGATCGCGTCCTATACTGTAGTACCGTCCGAGTACCGTACTAGTACACGTACTGTACGAGCACAGCTGCGAGGAGCCCAATTTAGCAGCCACCGCGAGGCAAACCGGGGAATTGGGGAGGCCGGACATTCGATTGGTGGTGATGTACGGTACGGTACTGGGGTTGTATGGGGCCTTTGTCCATGTGTGCGTGTATGTGTTGGGGTGGATAGCTAATTTACTATGGGATACCGGTGCATGGGTTACTGTTCCATGAGGAGTCTTGTATGTTAGAGTACCCTAAGCTACCGGTATGTCACCCGGATTCACGCTGACCGGCGCAGTACTATACCGGCTATAATCTTGGCCACGGTACCATATCATAGACCTTACTCACTGCTCACAAGGGTGAGTGAATAAATCAATCGAATCACGCTCATAAGTACGACAAACCCAGTCAGTGCTGTGGCATACAGCAAAGCAAGTGGCTTTGGGTTCCTCCCAATGCAGTAGTCATACTCTTGACGGGTGCCCCCCCCCTTGGCTCCTTGACTGCGATTAATTACGGTATCCTATATACTACCGGTAATAGTCATGGTTTGGGAGATGTTTGGCTTGGGAGGAAGGAGGAAGGGGGGGGTGGTGGAACTCTAGTGTACGTGTACAGTACGCAAGGCGCTGTATGAGTATGAGTATGATATGATACTCGAGTACCTTGGGACGTCACTCACGTGCGGATGGATGAACAGTAGACTGCGTACGATACCGAACTATGATAGCGTCGTGGCGGTCACAGTACAGTATAGTATGGTATCGTATGGAGTACGAGTCGGCGTCGGCATGCCGGGTCCCGGGGGTTGTTGCACGGGCAGGCATTCGCTGGGGTACCGTAGGACACTATAATACGAGTATGATACCGGACAGTACCGGTATTGCTGGGCCAACTCATGTATTACGGTATCTGTCATCGTGCATGCTTACAGGCGGTGCCGTATCGTGCAACATTCCCCCCGTCCCCCCGTCCCCCCCCCCCAGAGCCGGTGAAGGAAGGAAGGAAGGCCTTTGGCGTTGGGGCGTAGGCAAGGTTATAGTAGCCTAAGGTGAGTGGGGCAAACAGAGAGGTATGATATGATAGAGAGAGAGAGCGCGGAGTGCGATGGAATGTCGCAAGTGCACTTACGAGTAATTCTCGCCTATGATATTTGTTCCATGACCAACTAGAAGTCTTAGGTTCTCTCTGAGCCAGCGAGATGCAAGACAATCCTTCCAATCCTTCCAATCCTTCCCGGTCCGACTTTTTTTTTCCTTACTTCTTTTCCCTTTTCGCCTCTGATGTCCGGTCCGTGCCTATCTCTGCTTTTATAGTACAGCACTCGTGCTCGTACTGTGCTTGCCCCCGATCACCGTACCGGTATGAACAAATAAAAATGAAATAATAGGCTTAATAATAATAGTAATAATAACTTTCCTTTCCATCCAACTCCGATTTGGAACATTATCTATCAGACATCTCTCACGCACCGGCAGTTACACGTGTGCCTTAATATTAACATTATTATTATTATTATCTATTTTTGTTGTTTTTTTTTTCTTGGGGGTTATTGTATCATAGTATTTATTTTGCTTTTTGGCAATCAGTGAGTGAGGATATCTTGGGGGAGGGAGTTGCGTGACGCAGCGTCGCATGCTTCTGGAAGGGGTCCGAGGGAAGGGGGTTTTAGGGAGCAGATGTTTATGCGGGAGTTGTTTGATTCTTGCCTGTTCCCTCTACTCGTACGATTTGCGTCCTATCCGCACGATGCTTGTGCACAGATGGGGTAGCCGTTCAGCTTGGATGCTGGGGATAGATTATTATTGTAGGGGGTTTGGGCACTCCACACAGGTACGCTGCTGGTGGTGGTGGTGGTGGTGGTGGTGGTGGCTTATGACGATCCGAAAGCTTTGGTAGCCGCATCGTTACCGTACGGGCCAGAAGGCGGCTATTGCTTCCCTCGAGATGACTGCTCCTTTTTGGTGGTGGCGGCAGGGAGAGAGTGTTGGGGAGATGAACCGTGGAGACTCGAATGGAGGAGATGAGCATAACGGGCAGCGGGTTCGCGATGCATGTGATGTGTGTTTCCGAATCGAACCTCTGGCACGGGGAGACATGGGGGGGGGGGTTTTTAGTGACTGATCCGGGGGCCTAATCCCGCCGACACGGATCTCCAACCAAGACCAGCGAGTGGTGAGCGAGTCGCCGAGCGAAGTAAGTTGCCGAGTGAATCATTGGTGGTGGTGAAGCTGACGATGGACGTATGGGTGGGCGGGAATTCATTTGGTGGGTCGGCCCACCGTCACTCGTACCTGCCGACCGAGTGTGGGATTGGCTGCACAGGTCCAGTGCTGCGGCTGTCCAAGTACCGGTGCCTGGGGAATGGTGTGCAGGCTGCCCTGCACTATATTACCGTGTCGTTGTGGAGGCGGCCTATCTCTTTCCTCTTTTCCTCGGTCCCTTCTCCTCCCCTATGCGTCCCTGTGGAAAGTTTGGAAAGTGAGAAGCCGGGATGGAAAGAGGGCGCAAGTAAGGGGGAGAAAACGTGATTGAGGAGAAAATTAAGTGATATATGCAGCGCCGGTATCATCATGTAGCTTTTTTCTGCAGTGAGATCCTCCCCCCACCCATTGAAGACCATTCCTCCCTCCCTCCCCCACTGCTCCAATCGCCAGCTCCCCCTCCGCTCATCAAACTTAACCTCCACCTCCACTCATCAACGGTACCGGTATTCCATCAATCTTACACCGCTGTGAGTCCTCTCCGGGCTGCCTTTACGACAAGTGATTGGGTAGGCACGAGATCCATCTAGGGATCACCTCTCCTCTCTCGCTTTTTCTTCTTCATTCCTTCCTTCATCACCCGCCACGTTTCCAATCCCGGATAAGGGAGTTCAGGAGAAAGCTCTCCGTCCGTGAATGAAGCCCAAACTGCGTGCTCTATCCTGACAACTTCATTACCCCCCCTCGGCCTGCTGAATTGAACCCTTTCCTCCCACAGTGGAAGCCCCTCCCCGACTCCTTCACCTCCGGGTAAAGGCTGCATACTACAGAGTATTGTATCAAGGTACACCCTTGAAAGGGAAAAGAACTCTCTTTCTGCTTTCAATAATTCCGCTCTGAAGCTCTACCTGTCCATACCCCATTTTACCACACTACTCCCCCATCCCCCCGTCCCCCCGTCCCCCCGTCCCCGCTCATACGAGTACCGTACATACTACCCGTAACCATAGTCTACCCATATCCATGGGCGACATCTCCGTCTCCACATCGATTACTATCACTCCTACCACTGCCACCTTCTCCACCGCTGCAGCTTTTGCGGAGGTGGATCATTTTTGATCACAAGGAGTACAGGGTGGCTGGGTTGGCCTCTTGTTTTGTTCTTCTCTCTTGAGAGATATTTTCTGACTTTGTATCTCCTTCGATCTCTCTTCCTTCTACAGATTAATACTCGACCATCCCATCCTGATTTGTCGGTTGCACTGTACCTTTTGTAACCTATCTACCGTACCGGAGGGAGAGGGGAAAAAAAACAAAAACAAAGGAACAACCACACTACTCATCCACCGCCTCCACCCCCAACGTTACCCCAAGAAAAAGGAACCGCCAGCCCTTCCTCATCACTTCTTGGGGCCTTCTTTCTGTTCTTTCGCCATACCCACCCTTGCACCAATCACCTCGCCGAAGGAGAAAAGAAGCCGAACGCAATAAAATCACAATCTAGGCTAGCATTGACGACGATCGAACCCTCCGACACGAAGAGAGTCCGCTCTCTCAACGGGTCCGTATTTCGGATTGGAAACCCGCTTTGGTAGTTTATATTCCGGGGGATGATTACGGTAGTGGTCGTAGACCCGCTTACTCACGTTATTTCCAACAACAACACATGGGACACAAGGAGGTTGTGATTGAGGAGATTATCTTAACTTGAATGGGAAACTGGGGCCAGAAGCCTTAACGGACGCACCCGGTTTACCGTCATTACTTTTTTTTTTTTTTTTTCCTTATCTCCTTACCACCCAGCGCACCCCCCCCCCCCTCTCCGTTTAGAGGGCTGGGTTTAGTCTCCACGCTCAAGAGCCGCACTTCTTTGATAAAGCAAAGCCGTCAGCCCTGTTTTGACAATCCTCCTAAGCATCCAGCCTCGCCTGTTCTTTTTTTTTTTCTGCCTGAAAGACTGGCTCCTTTTTTCTTCTTCTTTTCTTTCGCGGTTTTAGGATTGAAAGAACGAATCAGCAGAATATTGGGGAGGAGCAATATCCAGCGAGCTGATAGGGAGCTTCACATCGTGGCCGATGACCGGACGAACAAATTCCAACCAGAACCATCGGCTCGCCGCTATCCATGCGGTGGGCAATTCAAACGACCGATATTTTCCTATATGCACCAGTGTCAGTCCGGGGTATACCCGCACTAGTCCGGCGCTATCAAACTCCTTCTCAAACTCTTTGCCGGGCCCCATGGCGCCCTATCGCCGGGAGATGACGATTCGCGCGGTATCGCCAGACTTTGGGCCAGAGGAGGGGGAGGAGGATACGGATGATTCGTTGACCGCACAGCATTCACCTACCACGCCACCACGGACGCCTTCCAGATCCTCGAATAAGTCGACTTCTATGTTCGATATGTTGGGGAGGGATCCGGCGGAACCGTCTACTCCTTCATCGCCGGGGAAGGCTCGGGCTCTGCTGAATCGGACGCCACTGTCAGGTTTCCCACAGTTCGTGGACTTGAGCATTGGCAGGAGTAAGAATGGGCCTCCGGCCGACGAGAGGAAGAGAACTTCCCCCTCTTTCTGTGATCGGCCTGGCACCACAGACACTATGTATTCTTCAGGTTCATCCTCGCATGGCTCTCGGTATCGTAACTTTGCTTCTAGTTCTTCTCACGAGTCGTCCGACTCGATACCCGCCTCTGTGGGGTTCCCGTCCACCACTGCCCTGTCCCCGATCCATACGAAGCCATCCGGTAAATCTGGTCGACAGCGGTTCCTCCGGCCGCAGAGCTCAGCTAACGCACTTAACTCTGGTGTCAAGGCTTCTGATTCACACTTCGCGTCCCCACCAGCTACCCCTGCCGACACGAACACTATATTACGGCTAATGAGGGAGGTGCGAGGGAGGATGGAAGGTCATGTAGAATTTCGGGTTGGCGATAATATGGTGTGGACTAGGGGGTATTGTCTTATTAATGAGGACACTGGAAGCTTGGTTCACCAGAGGGATGAGAATATCAATTCGACTCCTCCCAGCGTCATAGTTCCGGATTTACGCAGCTGCAAGGTGAGGAGCATAGCGCTGATGGATGAGGCTAGCGATGGGATTATAGAGGTTTTAGAGGTTTCCACGCATTCTACGAATATAACCATCAAACTCCGTCCGATGGATCCCAATCACTTTATGCCCTGGCTCGCAGCGCTGCTGTGCTGGCAACCGATAGCACCCGCGGGGGCCCAAAACAAAATGGTGAAATCGCAAGCTTTTGCACTGGCTCAGGAGAGGAAGGCCGATAGGAGGAGAAATTCGGACGCAACCTCTTCGAAGGATGCTTCGATCATCAAAGTTGGGAAGATGCTGAAATGGAGAAAGGGTGGGCCGACTGCCGTCATTGCGGCTTCCTCTATGCCGGGCAAGGGGTCGAGCAGGATCAAGGGGCCCACTGGAAACGTTGCTTGGCAGAGAGTCTCATGTACTTTACAGGAGAATGGCGAGTTTAGGCTGTATGCTGAGCTGGACACCACTCTTCTGACTGTGATCCAGCTGAGCCAGCTTTCCCGGTGTGCTGTGCAACAGCTGGATCCTAGTATTCTTGACAAGGAATTCTGTATAGCAGTGTACCCCCAGTATACGCCTTCTTCAAATATCTCCCTGGCTAGGCCTGTTTATCTTGGTATAGATAGTCGGATATTGTTTGAGGTGTGGTTTGTGTTACTCCGGGCATTTACCATGCCGGAATTGTATGGACCCGCGGGAACTGCTCCTTCGTCGAATGGTCGTCCGACTCCAGATGTTGCTACTGGGATATCAGAACACCCTACCGCTGAGGGATTGGTCGACTCGTACCGCATCCAGCGGAGCCTATTCCTGCGGGTGGTGGAGGCGAAAATATCGATGCCTGGGACTGAGCACGGAGGGAAGGACAACATGGATTGCTATGCAGAGGTGGTGTTGGATGGGGAGGTCAGGGCCAAGACCATGGTTAGGACAAAGACTCACAATCCTTTCTGGAGGGAGGACTATGAGTTTCCCGACTTACCCGCCATATTGTCAGATGTGGGCATAGTGTTGAAACAAAGGCATCCGAAATGGAAGACAAGGGGTTCAGGAACTGTCTCCGGGTCAGGGGGCTTTGGTGGAGGGCTTGGTGGGGTCAGTGTGCCAGGCAGTAAGGATGCCGTCATTGGTACTGTGGAGATTCAATTTGATGAATTGAAGATGGAGACTGATACCGAACGATGGTGGCCACTTATGTCTACCGCTAAGGGCGCCGAAGAGAGGATTGGGGAGATGTTTTTGAAGATTGGAATGGAGGAGTTAATTGTGCTTATGGCCCATGAGTATAGGGAGCTTTCAGAGGTAAGTGACGATTAATCGTTTCCTAGCACAATGGCTGATCCCGACCCAGCTATTACATAACTTCTCGAGCGGTGTTACTATGGAGATAGCGCAAGTTGTTGGCCCGGATCTCCGGCGACTGGCGGATACTCTTCTCAAGATCTACCAGGTTAGCGGGAAAGCGAGCGAATGGCTGATGTCCCTGGCCGAGGGCGAGATCGATGGATTGCACAAGGAAACCCCACCGGTAAAATTGGGGAAACATAGAGACTCCAATGAATCCAATTCTGACCTGGATCAATCTCGGCGCGATGTTGGAAGGGCCGGACTTGTTGATGCCAATATCCTGTTCCGCGGGAATTCCCTCCTCACACGGGCTCTTGATGCTCATATGAAACGGCTTGGTAGGGAGTACCTCGAGGAAACGCTTGGCGAACATCTCAGGGAGATAGCGGATGATGATACATACTGCGAGGTCGATCCGTTACGCATGGAGCCCGGCGAGAATTTGGTGAAGAATTGGAAGATTTTAATGGGTATTGTCAAGGGTATTTGGAAGGGGATATATAACAGCCATGAGAAGTGCCCGATGGAGTTGCGGAAGATACTACGACATATTAGAGCCTGTGTGGAAGATCGGTATGGGGACTTGCTGAAGACGGTATGTTATAGCAGTGTCTGTGGGTTTTTGTTCTTGCGGTTCTTCTGTCCGGCGATCCTGAATCCGAAATTGTTTGGGTTGCTGAAAGGTACGCTTATCTACTTTTCTTCTTCTTTTCTTTTCTTTTTCGTTTCACCTAGAGAAGGTGCTGAAGCTGTGCGCAGATCATCCTGGAGTAAGGGCGCAGCGAACATTAACTCTTGTTGCCAAGAGTCTGCAAGGGCTTGCGAATATGTCGACCTTTGGTGTCAAGGAGCCGTGGATGGAGCAAATGAATGAATTCCTTGGGGTAAGTTTTACCTGATCTGATGCCGCCGGTTTCCTACAGACCACCAACAATATACAATATATAGGCACATAGCGCTGAGATGAAGTCGTTCGTCGACGCCATCACCACAATCCCACAATCCCCGTACCCGACTGAAAGCGTGCCCCCATCATACGCAACCCCAATCACCATCCTCTCCCGCCTTTCCCAACCATCAAAGGAGGGCTTCCCCTCCCTCCCATATTTGATCGACCAACCTCGTGCTTTCGCCTCACTCGTATCAATGTGGCAGAAATGGCACCCTGTCTACCGTGACAAAACTGCGGATTACCACCTCGAAGGCGACCTCGCCCGCTTCCATAAAATGTGCTCGGATATCCAAGAGCGTATAAACATCTGTGTGTCAAAAGCAGAGAGCGCGCAGCGGCCCAGCAGCTCACTCAGCTCGCGCTGGGAAGAGGTCGCGGAAAAGGCTACCGGAAGCCCTTTGTTGGGCCCCGGACAGGCTTCTTTCTCGACTGTGCCTGGGAAAGGGCATCGGATGGTTGGCTTGTCCAGCACGCGAGGCCTTGAGGAGGACTATCACCATTCTGGTGCCACGAGAAGCAAACTTAGTGGGTTCGTAGGCGGCTTTAGGAAAAAAGTCAAAAGTCGGGGGACAATTGCCGGGTCGGAAGATGAATGACTGCTACTTCTTTTTCTACCACCCCCTCTTTTTTTTTTTGAAAAATCCTTTTATTTACCTTGTTTTTTTCTTCTTTTTTCTGGTCATCGATCATTTCCTCTGCCCTTCCTGGTCCTTTTATTATTATCATGCTATAGACGGAGGCATTAGTTTTCGGGGAAAGGCAAAACTCTTTAACTGGCTTTTGCAAAAGTTTTTTTTTTCCTTTGTTTTTCCACTCTGGGTTTCCGGGATTCATGTTTCTTAATTTTCGGGGGGGGGGATGATAGCCTTGCTTGCAGGTAAGGTTAGGACGCGTTGGTTCGGAATTGGAGTGGACAATACGGGAATGGGATGAATCGGAATGCGCTGGGGTTGACCTTGGAATTGGTGGTAATGGCATGGATTGGACGATTGGGTGGAATTGGTGCCGTGGAGTAGGGTTCTTTCTTTTGCTTTTTTTTATCTCATCCTACTTTATTAGTATCTCTTTTTCATTTTTTATAACGCTACAATGTCTGGTTCGGTTTGGGAGGCGTCCTTTTTTTTCATTACTTTTCATTGAGTGCTAGTCGGATGCGGGCAATTGATGTTTGAGAATAGCTTAATGTGTTCGTTGGTAGCTTAGTTTGTGGGGAAGGGGGAGTAGGTTAGAGAGCAGTGAAACGAGGAATTTTGGAAGACTTGGTAATTCCATGGGGGCTGGTGAATGACTTGTGATACTACTTTCGTAGGAAATTAGGGGCGGGGTATTCAGTTCTTCCTGTCGTCCAGTCCGTCCGGCTTGGTGGAGGTGCGGAGTCGGCTTATCTCCTGGACATAATGCCATAGTGCGTGTATGCCGGTTCGGCGATCGCCCTGTAGTTATCTACAATAAATTTCATCGCAATCCAAGACGGGGTGAGGACGACGAAGGCGAGGCATGCATAGGCCATCACCGGTCGTCTGTGTGGCCAGTGCTCCCAACCGGACACCCACCAGCAACACAATGGGCCAAACTAAAAAAAAAAATAAAGTTAAAATCACAAGGAGCCAGGTAAATAAATAAATAGCCAGAATAGAGTAGAATGATATCCATAAAGGTTTGTCCGGACTGGACGACTGGCGGTGCAGTATGAGAAAGTGTCATTGCCTCCATAGGGTGTCACTCGGTACAGTACCAAGCAGTAATTCATTCCCGGGGGAGGAAATAACTCTACCGGCAGCTAGCCCGCCGAGTGGCTCGCTCATTCCCCCGAGGGAGCACGAGAGCAAGAAGACGAAAATCGTCACAATCCTTGCACGCCAAACTAGTACCCGCCCCCTGTATCATAAATTACCAAAAACTCTCCCACCGCTCGGCTGTGGCAATATATCGCAGACGAGCTCCTGCCCCCCTCTCCACCGACAACTCAAGTTGGCGGATTGGTGGTCCTCTCTCCGTTTTCTCGGGCTTGATACTGTATCGTCACTGATCGGCCATCCCGTACGAACGAAGTCTGCCCGCCCTCCGCTTCTAATTGATGCCAGTCCGCCGCGGATTCGAGTGGTTACCACCCCCCCCCCCGAGCGGTGTCTCACACTTTTCCTCGCTACCGTAGTGCGCTTGAAGAAAGGTGAAAATTTTCTAGCAGTGTAGGGTAAAAGTGAGGAAAAGAGGTGGCGGTAGTGGTGGTGAGGAAATTATGAACCAGTGTGAATGATTTACCCAATACGGAGGAGGAAGGGATCATTTGACTTGAACCTTTCTTGTTTTAGAATGGTGTTTCCTTGCCTAACTAGCTGATTCAACTACAGTATGTAGTCCCCGTTGTATATATCGTGGTGGAAGGGGGGGGAGGGGGGGGGGAAGACCTCGCCCTAAATTATGTTGCGATAGCAGAGTACTGTACCCCCGATTGCGCGGCAGATATGTTTGAACTGGAGAGGGGGGAGATGGGACGCTGAGTGTGCAGTACTCACCGAGATCATGGCAGTCCTCACTCATCACTATCTAACAAGCCATTTCTGATATCCATGGCCCCCAAATCACGGCGGTAACTCTCTACCATTCTGGTCTGGAAACTTGACCCTGTTCCATCCTGCAGATGTTCCATGGAATAAAAAAAACAGGGACCAATTCGTGGTCTGGATTGAAGCGATGTAGCGGGCGTTTACGGGTTTATATATATATAATATACAAACACTTGTATCGTATCACTCAGATGTAAAATAGTAATTCGACGTTATCGTCCGGAGTATCAAGCTGGTGAGGACGATGCAAGGAGCTTCCAGAAGAAACTACGGTACGAGGAAACTGGGGTATGTCAGTGTGGAAAAAAGGAAAGAAAGAAAAAAAAAATGTTGTACTGTATCATAATTCTGTGTTGACCAGAGAGGGGAGGGAGAGGGGGAAGAGAGATGTGGTGGAGTGCCGTGCGAGTGATTATTCATGAATGTAAAACCCTTTTGAGTTTTACGAAACCGGACGAGGGGAATTGTGAGTTTGCTGAGTATACTATACTAATCGTGGCTGGTAAAAGATGCTACGTCGAAATGGGGGGGGATATGAAAGTCTCAGCAGGAAAAACCTGGAGACCCTCGCCCTCGCCTATAAAAAAAATTAAAAAATTAAAAAAAAAGGTCGACGGGTCGAAGAGCCATAGGTTAGTTTGGAGAATGTATGATACGTAAGCAAGTCAGTCTTATCCAAGGACTGGGAACGCAGAGAACGAGCGAGAAAATCTCAGCATCTCGTGGCGCACACACTCTCTTCTTCTACCCATTCCGGAGATGAAAAGGAGTGGCGAACAATGGGGGAATACGGTAGAGGAGACCCAGTGGTTCTGCTAAGCTAACCTCTACTCTTAGCCACGGTGCGAGAAAAAAAAAATATAAAAAAATATAAAACTCGACCGTAACCCAACCAATCCTCAGAAAGACGCCACGGGTAATGCCGACGCAATGGAGTGTTCAGAACTCGACAACTGGCCAGGACGTAAGTATTACGATGGAAAAGAAATGGACTGAACCGGTCCATATATATTCGTTCAGGAACCGAGATTACAAGGTTACCTAGGTAGGTAGGTGGGATATCAACGGCCAATTGCTCCCTCCGGAAGTAGAATATGTACTCGTAGCATACCTATAAGAGAAGGGAAACCTAACACTCCTCGCTCAAGAACACCCCTCCCTCACTCCTTCCGCCCAAGCCCTAACCCCCAACAGCGCAAACACACATACACTAGAAAATACACCGGCAAGATACTCCCACCTCACCGGGAAAAGAAAAAAAAAAGAAAGAAAAAAAAACCAGCGCATAACATACCTTAAAAACCGGAATAATCGAGCGGAGTTCTATGTAGTTGAGAATTCCCTCCTACGGAAAAAGGGGCGAAAAACACTGCAAAAAATAATAATAATAACCCGCCCTGCCCCCCTCCGAGAGACACCAAAACACCACACCCTTACCGGAGGGGGCAACTCCAACCACATAGCACGCTACTCGACCAAACGTCGAGAACCTCCCTGCAAGCACGTACCCCACAAAGCCCCGGGGCGGGGGGAAGGGGGGGGGCGAGTGAGTGGACTTTAGCAAACGGGGCACTTTTTTTTCTTCTTTTCCCCCTTCTGTAGGCTGGAAGGGAAGGGGAGCGGGAGAGGGAGCTGGAGCTGGAGGGGCAAATGGTGATTACCTAGCGGGCATGACACCGCGCTGTACGAGTACGGCGGCGGTAATGGGAAGGCTTGTAATTTAGGTGTGCTCGGGGAGGGGGGAGGGGTCAAAGTTGTTGGACGTCTACATATGTGCTTTACCCCACGTGCGTGCATGCATACTGTGGGATGGCTGGTCTAGAGGCGAACGGCCGTTGCTCTACATTACACTGATTATTCACTCGTTCAATACGGATCGGCGGCGAAGAGCGACTTGTGGTAAACAAAGTGCGGTCATAGAGTCTCACTCGTGAGTGTCATGATTCTGAATTGCAGTCCTTCAGCGCGAGAAAGGAGGGTGGTACGATATGATATGCGTGTGGAAAGTTGGATACGGTTGTGGTTCACTTACTAAGATATCTGATGTAGCGTGTAGTTTGTCTAGCGAGGAGAGGGATTGTCCCTCCCGTCATGCACTACAAATATATTAAGGCCTACCATGCAAGTTGCCTTGCAAAACCAGCCGGCTTGTCCACCCAACGATACACAGATACACAGCACTATCACATCAAACTACTGATAGCCATACAGTACCAGTATCTATGGTATCAAAAAAGCTCTCGATATCAGTTAAATTTTATTCAATTGCGCAAATACCCCACGTCTCCCCGGCTAACGTAAGTAAAACCCTACCCTAATTACACCCCGTCTCCCCACGCCGTTGGCCTAACTTCACATCCACCCCATCCCTCATCAACCAAGCAAGCAAACAGAAACAAAGCCAAATGAACCCAACCACTAATGCAAACCCCCCACTTCCATCTCCAATTCCCTAAGCCTACAACGAAAGACCCGTCTCACGAGGAAGGACGAAAGCCGTGATCACTAAAAACATATACAACTACCTTCAAATGTAAAAGCTTAGCACCAAGGAAGAATAGAAAAGAGAAAAATGCACGGTAGTTGTGCGAAAGAGGAGAGATAGGAGAAAAAAAGCGTATATAAAGTATTCTCAATTTGGACATAAGAAAGTGCCGTCGTGTAGTAAGTACTAAAAAGCTCGTAACAGTTGATGGGGAGAGGGGGAGCACGCGGGTTGGAAGACTGCAAACAACTCCGGCACCAGTAACCGAGCGGAGGGAAAAGGCAATCTGTGATAATACTAAAAAGGGGGAAACGACAACGAAAAATGAAAAAAAAAAAAATGAAAAACGAATGAGGAAAAGAATGAAACCCGATCATGTCTCATATGCTCCTTTCCCTTTTTTTTTTGTTCGGTTTGCATTTCATCATCAACCAATCGATCATTCGCCTCATTAAAGAGTGTAGAAAAAAGAAGAGAAAATAAACCCTATGCATGCATCCCCATTCGCTTTTTTTTTTTTTTCAAAGAGCGACCGCCGGTCCCTCCAAATCTAATCCCATAACGCTCTTCTTCTGGGAAGTTGCATCCTTGAGAAGGCCTCCAAAGTACTTGAACGCGACTTCGCTCTCCTTCTCGGTCTTTTTCTTCCCATCAATCGTGGTGCCCTGCTTCTCGATGGACTTGTGGAATGCAGCCCTGAGCTCATCAGCCGGAAACCCAAGTACCTTCCTGCACTCCTTGGTAATTCTCTCGGAATTGCTGTGAACGTAGTCCATCTCCTCCAATTCCCCTCTGATTTTCTTGGCCAATTTCCTTGGGACGGCGTTGGGGATGTCGGAGATGAGGAAAATTGCGCCAGCAACACCGGCAATGACAATGGCCGGAACGATCAATTTTTTCGTAGTCTTAGGGCCAAGGAAGCTGGTAGCCTTCCACAATCCGTCGACCCAGCTGCTGATACCAAACACTTGACCACCAGCAACGGTGGCGACCGTGAGACTCAAGCTCATTCCTGCAACCTTCTCTTGCTTATCAAAGTCGAAGAAATCAAAGGCATTAATCTGAGTCTTAATGCTCTTGCTCAAGAGATCCTTCTTGCGAGAGAACATATACTCCGGGCGGAAAGCTTTCTCGACATACTCATTTCCCAAATGAAGGAGACCCATAGACCCGATCCGTGCAACACCCTCGGCAGTCTGGGTCCTGGCAAACCCCTCCGAGGCAGTAACGGAATCCTGGACCTTCTCAAGCATGGCATTCTTGGTAGCCTCAGCGAACGCGTAGGCAGAAAATATACCGTCATACTTGACCGGAGACCTCTCATCGAGACGGGAAATTGTGCCGGTGATGGCCTTACGTGCGTGCTTGTATACGGTAGTGCAGGTCTCGTCAATCGAACCGTCGACATTCTCAGAGACCTCCGTGCGCGCCTTGACAGACTTCTCAAACTCTGGCGCAATCTTGTCGAGCTCATCGCGGACCTTCGACAACTCGGCCGAAGTAGCCTCCTTGTTGACCTCTGCAAGAGTCTCCAAATCCTCAAGAACATTAAGTAGATAGGTTTTGGCCGGTGCCAACTTGCTTCTGGCTCTCTTTTCAAGCACAAACCTCCTCAAGCTCTGCTCCAACTTGTCAAACTCTTGGCACTTGGCAGTGTCTTCTCCATCGATGACCGCATTGGATGACACAAAGTGTACGAGTTCCTTGGCATCCTGGTGGGTTCTCGGCGAAAGACTAGCGACTTGATCCAATATGAGCCGTTGGCATCTAGCTTTATCCCTAATGTTATCGAAACGATTGACGACAATGAAAATATAGGCCTTTTCGTGAGCGGCATTCCAGATGAACTCCTTGGCTGACAAAGTAAAATGATTCTCCGCACTCAAAACAAAAACAACAACATCAATCTCCTCCTGTCTGGCGAAAACAGCGGTGGTCTTAAGGGAATCAAGATTGAGACCAGGGGCATCAATGAGAGCGATATCGACAACGCCATTGCGAAGAAGAGACTGGCCAACCGATCGGGCGTCCTCCACATATATCTTGACCTGGGAATATCTGTCGTTCTCAACAACAACTTCCTCCAGCTTCTCCAATGGGTAAACATCGTATGTGCTCTCATCATTGCGATCATATGCCGGTCCATCAATGGGAATTGCGTGAAACTCCTCAACCGAAGCGTTGTCCCTGGCATCTAAAACCTCACAAAAGATGCTCGTGCAGGGTTGTTGATCCTCGGGAAGAACCTTCTTGCGGAGAAGAGCATTACAGAATGTCGATTTTCCAGCATTCAAATCACCGGTAACAAGCACTTTCGATGCCGTATCATCAATTCGCTCCCTAAGCGCAGAAAGGTGCTTGATAGACTGGGAAATCTTTCCATCCAACAAAGAAGCGATAGACGACTTTTCGAGCGAGTGGACGAGTTCGGATGGTGAGAGCGCCCCAAGCTTGAGATCCAGCTTCAAGACATTAAACTCCTGTGCGATCTGTGGGGTGACCAGACGGGGCTCCGGTGTTGTTGTCGTTGCTGCTTGTTGTGGCGAATCAATATCCGATTGCGAGATGGCGGACCTTTGCATGGGGAATGGAGAGTGCGCACCTTCGGCCCCAGACGATTGACTGCGTGCTAGCGATGGCGCCTCCACCACACGCTGAACAGATGGGTAATGGGCTGGCCATTTGCTATTGTTGTGTTGGAATTTCTAGATACCCGGTTAGTGTACAGTAAACCCAAACATCCAAGCCGGCATGTACCTTGAGTGTATCGACAGCATAGGCGATAGAGCGGCCAAGAGCGACACGATTCTGATTGCTGTTTAAACGTCAACAAACATCAAACAAACACACCAAAAAGGGTGAACACACTAATGAAGTTGGCTGACATGGCTCGCCCACAATCTCCTATCGGCGTCGGCTAGCAATCAAGAGTCAGCATCTGCACTTTTTTTTTTTTTTTTTTTTTCCCC